TCTAAGACGGTGACGCCGAAATGCAGTCGAAGGAGCCTCGATTTTACGGGAAAACACGCGTTAACACCGGAATCAAAGTCTAAAAATCTTCCGAATCCAAAGCGATTTCAAATTGGTAAGCAAATATATTTATAATTACTGTAAATACCAAACATTTTCATTTGATACATTGTATTTGTTTAAAGGGGAAGTCAAGTCCGTTCTGCGCATCGGTTCTGCGCATAACAATAGGGGGCCCTCTGAGGTAAACATTGCCCAAATTTTGAATGTTTCGAATTTTTCTGAACACAAACTCTATTTCATATTCATGTAGAAGCATAACGAACCAAAATGGTGTTAGATATTCAGACAGTACATCATATTTTAAAAAATACAGCAGTTCAAAATGTAAACAAACCGTTTGTTTACATTACGGACTTGACTTCCCCTTTAAATTAATACGCACATTATTAAAAGTATATATTTTATATATTTGATACTGTAATATCTTTTGCTGGAGATGTTTTTCATATTTTAAAACTATTACAGCCAGGGCCTTGCAGAATCTATCTATCTAGCTTGCTTTGCAATGTTGCTCACCGTAGCTTTACATAAGTCCCACTCGCCCAACCCCCTCCCCCGGTTGTTATTAGGAAAAGTTAAAGTAGACATGTTAGCTAGGTTGTGCAATGTATGTCTCTAATAGACCGAGCATTGAGATGTTACTCTGAGTGTATATCCACATTACACCAACACACATTACACCTAGATTCAGTTCCAAAATATCACATGCTTGAACAGGCATATTTTTCAAGCCTGCCCGGTGTGGATATAAACTCAGAGTAACATCACAAGCATCATATTCACCTGAATACATTACGCCAACACAGAAAAATCACTAAAGCGAGCATTGTGGACAGATAAATGTCAAGCATGTGACTGATGCTGCACCAGCTCCCAGTGGTGTGTGAGACAGGGCTTTGAATGATATTGAGTTGATTCAATTTCTCCATACAACAACCTTTTGGCTATCATATGTTACAGAAAACATGCATTAGAAATGAAATACAGTATAAATGTGTTTTTTTCCATATTTGATTTATACTAGGAGAGAAGCCATCTGGTAGAGAAGTGAAAATAAGGCAAGAGTTCTTGGAAGAAAGACTAAAAGAAAGATTTGAAGAGAAAGCAGGTTGTACAATCCAGCAAGTAAAAGCACTGTCACTAGTTGGTGAGGGGAATACTTCTGAAACTTCAAAGACAATGTTAACAAGAGCATTAAAACGGGCGTTCCCTTCAGTGAAAACAAAACGCACACAGGAGAAAGGGTATCCTTTGATAAAATAATCTATAAATAATCTTACAATCAAATTAAGTGCGAAATTAGAAATACTGTATTCTTTAACTCATGTAACAGGGTCTTTTATGTTAACATTAGACCAAAATCTTTGTTTGCCAGTGTGTTGTATGCAGATTCTCCTGAAAGTAAGTATTGAATCCATAGAGGAATGTGCTACAGTAACATACATTAGACATCATAAAAGGCCGTCAAAAGTAAATCAATATTTTTTTTTGGGGGGGGGGGGCTCAAAGAATAAATGTGAATAAATCTGAATTGCATTTGCACTTTTCTAGTTTTTTTTTGTGTTTTTCTTACATACAAATCCCCAGCCCGCCCCAGTCCCCCCCCACTTCTGACGGCCTTGGTTTAGAAGAAAATTCAAATCTTAATTTAATTAAGGATCCATGATTGGTATCATACATGATTGATGAATATGTAAATACCCTGTACTTAAAATTCTGGCCTTGTAAATCTGTATTTTTACTATGTCTAACACTGGTCAGAAGATTTTACTTGTCAAAGGTAGAGCATTTGACACTCATTGTGTATGTCATTGTCAACACGAAACAATTTTATGCATCAAGTGGAGAACACTGCCACTCAATCAAGGAAGTTCGAGAACAGACTTTCAACCATCTTAGGAAAGATTAGATATTCATAAGGAAGGGGGGAGGTGTCTGGTGTAACTTTCTTTTCTGATGTTTTTATATACATATTAATTAATTAAAGGTGAAATAAATAACCTCAAAATAATGATTGCTGCAACTGATGAAGTCATGACTCAAATATGGGATAAAACTTCAGAAATGACAGCTGAAAATCAAGAATTGAGTGAATTAATGGAAGAGTATGCAAGAGAAGCTAGAGAGAGGGATGCACTATTTTCCTCATTGGTAAAAGTGTATGAGAATGAACTTGTACGGTTGAGATCACAACAAAACCATGACACTTTATCTGAGAAACAAAGACGCATCATTATTGAAGAATTCAAGATTTTAGAAGCTATCACATGTACAGGTGTTCGAACAACCTTTGACAAGACATTGCCAGATGAACAAGTGTTAAATGACAGTTTCTTTAAAGAATTTGTTGTAATATTTCAGGAAACATGCCCATTGCTGCAGAATGTTGTCGAGACACTTTTGGTTAGCAATCTGCATCAAACAAATATTCATATAACTGTGGACTACAAAGTTTTATGTAGTACTCATGCTTTGTCATTGCTGTTGAATGTGAGGAGTACAACGGGAAAAAATTATACAACTACTGTCACTTTCTCTTGCAATAAGGCAGGGACAGCATAACATAAAGTTTTTTCTCCTCCTGTTGGCATTACAAGTAGGGTATTTTTCCTTTGTAAAATACTGTCAATTGCCTGTTTTTGTAATCCCCTAAAGTTTTCAAATTGGAATATGGCACGTAAAATGTCGAGACTCGGATCACCAGAAGGTAGGATAGCAGCCGTATTGACATTGTTCCTATGGCAATGTTCTTTCTGCAATGGTGTTGCGTCCACATATAAATCCTATAAAAACAAATATATTCACATCATTTGCATGTATGTCAAATTTACTACAGAACTTAAAGATGATGTCCACTCCTGTGCACATGTGCGAACTTTGTTTTCATTTTGAACTGATATATTTGAAAAATACTAACTGAATATCTAGCTAACACTTTTCTGGTTCGCTATACTTGTAAATGAATATACACTGTACATTTCAATTCAACAAAAAGTTCGAAAGATGCGAAATTTGGGCAATGTTTATATCTGCCTGGGTGTCCCGCTTTGTTATGAGCAGAACTGATCTGCAGAAAGGAGTGGACATCATCTTCAAAGATGCTGTAAAATCAAACTTTTTTGAATTGAAACATAGGAAAAGTGTTAGATAATGCAGTTAGTATATCATATTTACAAACATAGCAGTTCAGAAATGTAAACGAAGCGTTTGTTTACATTGCGAACTTTACAGCATCTTTTAATAAAAGTGTAATCAAATATAAATTGGATGATTATATGTAGTCAGTGATTTGTGGTGACAAATATAGAATGAACTAGAACTATTACATGTAAAAAAACTGCCAGTAAACAAAATTTGATTGTAATTTATTATCGCTTGCTTTTAGGATTTCCACAAATATTTAAAAAAAACAACGAAGAATTATGCTGTTCCTCAAATTGCACTAGCAAGTTTTTATTATAAAAAAATATATACCTGTATCTATTAACATATTAAGTTCCTACCTTCTTCACAAATGTGGCTTCTGCAATGACCACAGTCATATCTTTACCAGACTCCGTCTTGGTAGTAAAAAACACATTGAAAGTGGCAGTGATGTTTCCTCCTTTTACATCAATTGGTTCACCTCTGTTGCCCTTGGAGTATGGTTTCAGATATCCAAAATGCAATAGAACCATTCCAACAAGTTTAGCAGCCTCTTTCGCATCTTTTGCAGCGACATATAAATTGTGACAATCCCCGTGCTTCGTAAATACATTGTATCCGATGTAAGGTTCGCTCTTCTAAAAATATGTAAATTATAAACAGCTTTGAGTCAACATGACAACATGTATTATGACGCGTCCTTACAGAAAAAAAATTTGCATATATGTCCGCAAACATTGTGCTTACCAGGTTACGACGCGCGGTAGACAACTTTTCCAAGTGGCTCTTCGTTTCTTCGCCATGCAATGACTTTAGCACGCATTTTGCTTCATCCACGTGTTTGTCTGTGAAAGTTACACCACTATGTTTCGCTCTAAAATGCTGAGCGAGCCCGTTCACCTCAAAAAAATCATTTCGAAAATCTCGTCTACATTGCGGAAGAGGACATGGAATCTTTTCATTTATATAGGCGGCATGAAACGGCCTCTCGTGAAGTCTCGCTGCATTTACACAATCATCGCTGGCGCCCGCCATTACTGTTTCCGCCATGTTTCTTTGTGATCTGCCAGTCGTCAATTTTGCTTCGTCGTTCCCATCATGCAACGCAAAACTCCGTACACTGATCTATATAAATTGACGACTGGGTACGAGTCAGCCAAAATAGTCAGTTATTATTCTATGAATAATTGTAAATGGTTTCTTTTCCTTCAAAAATTAAAAAAATTGTAAATATGTACGTATTTTGTAAATTACACACGGCTTTTAGGAAAAACAAATTGTAAATAATTATTATTTATTCCATTTGATAAAACCACCGTGTTTAACTAAAGATTTCAATCAATCAAATCTATCTATCTATCTATCTATCTATCTATCAATCTATCTATCAATCTATCTATCTATTTATCTATTTATGGCTAGTCTAATTTTTGTTCAGACAATTGCTTAATTTGATACATGATCGTGTTTGACTTTCAAAGGCCCATAAATCGCTACAATGTTGATAATGACTATAACTATAGGGACGAATTAGTTTTCAAGCAATGAAAAATTAAGGTTATTTCGTAGGTGTGTATTTGTTTACATTTGCCGGTAGAGTGTTATATTCTGCTGGCACGTGGATTAATACAACTATATACCATTACAAACTGGCTACCTGATAAATATAGAATAATTTCAAATGTATGCAAGTCATGGTATTCAATATTCATAATATTTCAATATTTTAGTGCTGCCTAACGATGAAGATAAGTAAAACAACTACTGATCAATTGACAATGTTACTTACAGTTTAATGTGACTAGGAAAATTGAGAAAATTTGGAAATTCAGATCGTCAGAAAGGGTATTTGTCCATGTCTCCTCCCCCTCCCCCACATACATTGTGTCTGATTGTCCTTAGTAGTTAGAATGTTAATTCTGATTCAGAGTGCAAAGTTCACTGAATTTACCTGAAAATATGCTGGAAATTTATCTGAAATTACTCCCCCCAGTCGCTACGCCCCTGATGCTGCTTATATACATATTAATAATTTATAAATGAAATTTCAATGAAAAATGACTGGTATTAATATAATGGCAGATTGCATTTATTTTCCGCACAGAAAATAAATGCAATCTGCCAATACAAATTCAATATCTTACTTTGTGAGGTAGCATTCTTTATTAACCAGGTGACTGCTGGCAATTCATCCTTTTCATCTTCACTGTCACTAATATTCAATCTACCCGGCTCGGGTTCGTCAAAGATGGGTAAAAGATATAAATATATCCTAGAATACCCATATCCCGATACTTCTTTATACCGCTGTGAAGTGTCAGTGCCTGGAACAAACTCAACATCGCCGCCATCTTTGAAAATCAACATGTAGTTGCTTCCTTTGACATTCACAAAACGCCTGTTAAAGTCACCATGCTCTTTAACCGCTGCTGCAAGAATCGTATGTCCTGAGGCGGTCGAAGAAATCATGAACGGAATCGTTTCTCCCCGTTTTACTTTTTCTTTGTCTTCTATTTTCCTTTTCTTGTTAATAGTGGCACTCTTTTTGGCAAGCGAATTTTGTCGTTCCGTTTCTTTCTTGGTTTTAAAGGCGTGAAAGCTTGGCAAGGAAAACCTTGGCATTGCGAATCTACTGCTACTACTTGCCCTGCCGGAGGGTATTTCAGTCTTGAACTTTTCATCTTCTTTGATGTTGGCATTATTTATTATGTCTTTTCCACACTTTGGGCAAAAACAAATGTTTTTTTCTAAACAAATCTACAATTGGAGCGAAACTTCGCGCTCGACTGATTCACAGCCATCTTGCTCGGAAAATGTTATTTCGCTGACCTCAGAATGACATTTCGTCCAAAAATTTTTCTTCAAGATTGGTTTAGAAACAAACTTGGAGTAGGGTTAGGTTAGGGTAAGGATTAGGGTTGCCGTTAGGGTTGGTGTTTGAAATAGGGTCAGTGTTAGACAACCGTTGCTTTCTTACGTTTTGTCACTCTGATTCCAGCGAAATAGCCCCTGCCATCTTGCTCGCGTGTAAAGTTTAGGCGGTGCTTCCTTGCTCACGTGTAAAGTTTAGGTGGAGCGTACTGAGAAATATTTCTGCGTATACTGAGAAATATATATCTGCATGCATACTGAGAAATTTATCTGTGTACTGAGAAATATTTTTGCGTACTGCGAAATATTTCTGCGTACTGAGATATATTTCTGCGTTCTCAGAAATATATGTGCGTACTGAGAAATATATCTGCGAACTGAGAAAATATATCTGCATGCGTACTGAGAAATATATCTGCATGCGTACTGAGAAATATTTCTGCTTACTGAGAAATATATCTACGTACTGAGAAATATTTCTGAGTACTATGAAATATATATCTGCATGAGTACTGAGAAATATATCTGTGTACTGAGAAATATTTCTGTACTGAAAATGTATTTGTTATACTGTTTATATATTTATGATATATCAGTAATAAGAATTTTTTTCGTAATTCTATTATATTTCTGTGTTGCCGGTGTGGGCCACTGTACTTTTGACTATATACTGATAATAACGTATATTGTATATACATATACACTATATACTCTTTGGAATTCACTCAAACATTCGCTATATACACTTTTGACTATACATTGCCTTATCGTGAATTATTATGTTATATGCGCTGCAGAATATACAACACGTTCCAGAGCTAAGTGCAATATTCTATTTAGCAATTTTGTGGACAAAATCTTTTTATTACGAGATTTTAACCACAAATTTAGATTTCGTTTGGACATTTGTGACAATTTAATCCCACTTTTTCCAAAGAAGATTCGTTCTCAGGAGAATTACGTTAATCTGTACATAATTTTGCGTCGTTCCACTTAATTTACGTTTGTCAAAACTCTTCATTATTGCCAAAAACTGACAAACAATTATTTCTATAAAAACTGTTCGGACGTATTTGTTATAATATTTAAAATTGGCATAATTTTGAAAAATAACACTTGCTAAATTGTACAGAAATCAAGTAAACTTTATTCATACAACAAAATGTTGCTTAATTTATTAATATAACAAGTATTTTCCATACAGTAAAATACATCTATATTATTTACACTGTAGATGCTAAAGTCTGCTTAATTAACTTGTGATCAACTCGTTCTTTTTAATACTTTATTCACATAGCGTTGTTCGGTACGTAACGGTACGGTTTCTACAAATTTACAAACACTTAAATATGAACAATATGGTCTACAAATATTAAACGTTCGCACATATATATATATATATATATATATATATATATATATATATATATATATATATATATATATATATATATATATATATACTTACAATCACTTTGACGTTATCCAGGGATTTATTCCACATCGTGTAGAATATCTTAATTATGTCTTGTACATCTACATGTTATAACCTTAGCTTCTTAGTCATATCTAACCTAAAAAGGTTCTTGCGCAAGCGTTTATAGCTTATTAAATATTCTGATGTCAATATTCCATTCTTATGTTAATATCTAATTAACAGAAGTTACATTCCCGGCCCCTTTAAATAACTATGGATAAAGTGTATCTTGTACAAAGTATTTCAATTCAAATCTGTTCAGTTACTTAGAACTCATCCACTCCTTCTAATAAAATACACTTAGTTATAGGTCGTTCTAATATTGTTAATCTTGTCCGTAATTTAACTTTTCTTACTTGACCCTTGACGTCGGGGTAAACTTCTGTAATTCTTGCCAACGGCCAGGAACTTCTTGGGGTTGTCTCATTCACTATTAGAACGATATCTCCTTCGCGAAAATTCCTACGGGAACGGTTCCATTTCTGTCTGCTTTGAAGAAGAGCTACGTCTCCAGAATTGGTCTGATAAATATTGCACGTGTCGCCATCTTCTTCGTGAGTAACAATCTTCCTTTGTAAACATACCAGGTGGTAAGTCTGGACCAGCTCGTAGCAAAAGTAGGTGGTTAGGAGTAAGTGCTTCTAAATCTCTCGGATCGTTTGAGACACTTGTAAGAGGTCTTCCGTTTAAAATTGCTTCAACTTCGCATAGGAAGGTAGGCAAACTTTCATCGTCCAATCTTTGTTCGTGAAGTAAGGCAGCTAATACTTTCCGGACGGATCTTATGCATCTTTCCCATATACCACCATGATGAGAACCTCCTGGAGGATTAAAAAGCCACTGTATATCTCGTTGTAATAAAAACTCGTTAATTTGCTGCTGATTCCATTCTTTAATAGCTTGTCGGATTTCCTTTCCACCACAGACAATGTTCGTGCCGTAGTCGCTTCTCATCTGGTTTGGATTTCCTCTCCTTGCGATAAATCGACGCAAGGCGTATACAAACGAACTCGTATCGAGAGAATGGGCCACCTCTATGTGGACTGCTCTCGTCGACAGACAAGTGAAGATGCAACCATATCTTTTAACTTCTGCCCGACCTCTCTTAACGAAAAACGGTCCGAAGAAATCTACTCCGACATTTGTAAATGGTGGTTGATCTGCAGTGACTCGGTCCGCAGGTAGATCCGCCATCTTTTGCTCCCCAGGAGATCCCTGCCTTCTACGACAATCGACACATCGACTTAGTATTCTTCGAACAGCGGTATTGGCATGGATGATCCAAAATGATCCCCTCAGCAGTGACAGTACGTATTCTCTACCCGAATGTCCAGATACTTCGTGATAATGACGAACGATCAGATCTGTAACATGGTGAGCTTTCGGTATAATAACTTGATGTTTTGCATCTTCAGGTATTGAAGCGCGTCGTAGGCGGCCGCCAACTCGTAATAGCCCATCAATCAGCACAGGATCTAACGTGAATATCGAACTAGTCTTCTTTACGCGTGCCCCCCGTGTTGATTTGCTTGCTGGAACAATGGCGCCACGACAACTCGCTAACTCTTCGGGAAAATTCGTTTTCTGCACATGCTTCAACAACTCCCTTTCAGCTATCTTCAATTCGGTGACAGTAATAGGTTTGATGGTACTCTGTTGATGATCATTTGCTGAATTTCCATTGCTACGTTTACGGTGAGCTACGAGTAAATTCTGTCTAAATCGCAGCATCCAGGCGAAAAATTTCTTCAATCGAGCCCACGATGAAAAGTGTTCAATGATTGAATCGACTGTCCTTACACCTTCATCTTTAATTGAAATACACGTTATCACGTCTTTCTTCACCTCAGGGTCATCGGATAAAACTTCTCCCAAGCCGTCGGGTCGCTTTGGCCAGACTTCTGACGGACGCCAAAGAAACTCCGGCCCCTTTATCCATCTTGCGCAGCTCAGGAAGTCATCAGCGGATAAACCTCTAGAAGCATCGTCTGCCGGATTCAATTTCCCATCAACGTGTCTCCACTGCGACGGAGAAGAATTATCCCGAATGGCACCAATTCTATTCGCTACGAACGTATTGAAACGTTTATCTTGGTTTTCGATGTAGCGGAGGACGGAAGTGCTATCGGTCCAAAATATCGAATCGTCAATGGGCAATTCTAATTCTCGTCTTGCCATCTTGTCGAGTCGAACAGAAACAGTCGCTGCCGACAGTTCGAGTCTCGGTATGGTCATTGATTTGAGTGGAGCTACCCGCGATTTCCCGATCAAGAAAGCGCAGTGGATCTTCTCATCTTGGTTGACCATTCGCACGTACGACACGGCACCATAAGCACTTTCGGACGCGTCAGAGAAATGATGTAATTGGCAGGACACGACTGGGCCAAATTCGACTGGTTTGAAACAACGACTGACTGAGAATTCTGCTAATCTTGGTAATTCTGCTAACCATCGTTCCCACCGAATCCGATGCTCTTCCGGAATAGGCTCGTCCCAACCAACTCCTTTACGACACAGTTCTTGTAAAATCAATTTAGCTGGTAGAACAAACGGTGCTGCTATGCCCAAAGGATCATAAATGGAGGTAACTATAGATAGAATACCACGCCGAGTCTGTGGACGAGTTTTGATTGTGACGTTGTAACCAAAGACGTCCATTTCGATATTCCAATGGTTTCCAAGTGCTCTTTCAATGGGTAAATCTTCTAAGTCGAGGTTCTTGACTGTAGCTGCTCTTTCTGATTCAGGAATGGCTTCGAGAACTCGCCGAGAGTTGGATAACCATTTCGTTAAGCGAAACCCACCTTTCGCCATCAGTTGTCGGAGTTGTTGCACTAGGTTAATTGCGACAAGGTCGTTTTCCACGGACTTCAAGCAATCATCCACGTAAAAGTTGCGCATTACAGTCTGGATTGTTTCTGCATCAAAGGAATCCTTGTTATCTTCGGCAGTCTTCTGAATTGCAAAACTGCAGCAGCTTGGGGATGAAACTGCTCCGAATAGGTGTACTTTCATTCTATACTCGACTGGCTCTTGCAACAAATCATTTCCAGGCCACCAAAGGAATCGTAGAAAATCTCGCTGATTACATATGACGCGAACCTGGTGGAACATGGCCTCGATATCGCTCATGATCGCCACTGGATCTTGTCTAAATCGCATTAAAACTCCCACGAGTGTATTGGTCAAATTGGGTCCCGTTAGAAGTTGGCTGTTGAGCGAAATGTCTCTATACTTCGCGGAACAGTCGAATACTACGCGGAGTTTTCCTTTCGTCGGATGGAACACTGGGTGATGTGGCAAATACCAAACATGTCCATCAGATCGATCACGTTCTTCTTCCGGTACCTTTTCCGCATAGCCCATGCTAAGCAAGTTTCCAATGAACTCGGAGTATTTCTGAAACAGCTCTTGGTTTTTCGTAAGCTTTTTCTTCAAAACGTTGAGACGATGTCGTGCCAATAGTTTATTATCGGGTAGGCAAGGTTCCTCCATTCTCCAAGGTAGAGCGATGTCGTAGTGACCATCGTTCAATCTACTTGTTTCTTTCATGATGCTGTAAGCTTTGTGGTCGTCTTGAGAGAATTGTAGTTTTTCTTCGTCTATGCTATCGTTAAATTCTCTATTACAGAAACGTTCGAACTGTTCGGTGAGTCCAACATTGGTCTTTATGAAATTCGATGATCGTCTCGCGTCACTGCTATGATGTCGACCAAGTGGTCCGTTTAATGCCCATCCAAACTGTGTTCTAACAGCGTAAGGACCGCCGTTCTCTGCTTTACGTATTTCTTCCGGCTCGAGTGCTTTAATATTATCATTGCCAATCAGTAAACCAACTTCTGCATTTATATGCTCCAATCGTATTCCGTTTAAGTGTGGCCACCGATCTACGTCAGCTTGCCTGGGTATGTCGTCTTGAGTTACTGGCATTGAAGGCATTGTGAACACTGTTGGTAGTTCAAGGAAAACGTTTTCGTCAAGATCATACACTTCGAAACTAACGACAGTACTTTTCGTTTCTTTGTTCTTCTTTGTCATAGTTGTTAGTGAGAATTTGGTTGTATCGCCTGTCAAACCCAATTGATCTTTAAGCGCCTCCGTGCAGAACGTAGTGTTTGACCCGCCGTCCAATAGAGCATAAGTTGAGATATAGCGTTCTGGGTGTCCGTCCTTCTTGACTTTAACCTTGACTGGAACGACTGATAGGCCAACTGCTAATCTTGGCACGTCTGTAAATGTACACGATCGCTCGTTACTGGTAAAACTTTCTTCCGTTTGAACTTGTTTCTCGGCTGACGATAAATTGCGTTGACTTCCCAAGCGCTGATCGTTTCTCGAGGGAGTTAGGTGCAACATTGTAGAATGTCTTCGACCACACTCTTTGCAACTCTTCTGTCTTCGACAATCCTTTGCCATATGATGAGGTGTTAAACAATTGAAACATAAACCTTTACGTTTGACAAGTTCCACGCGTTCTTCGTAGGACATAGCTCGGAATTTTGAACATTCTTCCGGTGTATGGGCTTGGTTGCAAACAATGCAATTCTTGATTGGTCTTGGTGGTTCAACATTGCCGAAGTTGCCTTTCCGTTTAGTATCATCATTCCTTTTCCCAACTTGCGTAGCTAAACTAGTCCCTTTCAGTTTCTCGTTTCTGATCCTTTTGCCAGTATAGTCATAATCAGCTGAAATGTTACCAAACACGGGATGATTGACGATTCGTGCTTGCCTTTCGACAAATCGAGTAACATCGCGAAGGGAAATTTCTCTCTCTTCATCCTCAGTTATATTATCGGCGACGACACGCCACCTTTTTCTCGTATCGTACGGTAGTCTTGCGATGATTAACTTCAAGCACTCTGGGTTCTCGATCTTGCTCATATAACCGATTTCAGTAAGTGTGTTCATACACGATGTTAACTGAACCGACAATCGTTGAATGGCTGCGTTGTCTTCTCTTTTAATAACCGGTCCTTTCGTGAGTTTATCGACATAGGCTGTGGCAATTCTATAATTCTGACCGAATCTTTTCTTTAAAAGTTTCCTTGCTTCGAGATAACCTCTTTCAGGATCCATCGCCGAACAGCTACGCATTAGCTCTTGTACTTCCCCAGTTGTATATTGTATGAGGTAATACAATCTTGCGCTGGAGCTCTTTGTATTTGCTTCGATAATGTTTTCGAACGCTCGAATAAAGTCGCAATATTCCATCGCATTCCCACCAAACAAAGGTACGCTCGGTTTCGGTAACGCCAACGCCATCGCATTCGTTTGTTGTTGTATGAATAAATCATTCAAGGTTAAAGGATTTATTTCACGGTTACGAACAGAGTTAATTAATTGCCGTTTTGTTTCACACAATACTTCGCTATTGTCTTCATATGGTCTATTGTCCGATTTGAGACTGTTTGACGCCCCCGACATTGATTGTTCATGCTTCAATGATGTTGACTTTGTCCTTGACAATGGTTCTTTAATATTCAAAGACGCCCCACGCTCTGCTGCTTCGGCTTCGGCAAATACTTTCTCTCTTGCATAACATTCAGCCAATTCAGATTTAACTGTCAGTCGTTCTTCAGCCTGCTGTAGGCGCATGTTCTCTTCGTCCCTTGTTTTCTGTAGCTTGAGTCGTCTTTCGGCTAAAGCTTGTTTTTCTCCTAGTAGTTCGAGTTTAGCTTCGAGCGCTTTCCGATTAGCTGCTTCTTCAACCAACCGTAGCTTAGTTGAGCTGGATGTTGAGTGTTTGGACAGGTTACTTGTTGTTGATCGTCCTGTGGCGCTTCTCTGGCTGGCAGAATCTTCAGGATTTACTTCGTCTTCGACTTGAAGTCTAGTTCTTTGCTCCATGTCCTCGATCCACAGGTTTACTTTCTTGTACAATAGCTGTATTTCGTCGTATTCGTCTTTATAATATTGTTCTGATTGTTCTATTTCGCTCCGCTCGACAAGCTGACTGTGGACATTAACGTGAGCGACGGCAAACATGTTAAAGGTCTCGTCTATTTCATCATTTTTTCGCTTTATTGCTTCAACGCTCACTTGGTCATGACTCTTCATTAGCTCGAGAAGTTTGTTCTTCCCTCTAGTTAGAACCGATTTATAGCCCGATCGTGCTCGCTTAAGTTGAATCATTCGCTCGTTTAGAATAGCTTCGTCCATGTTCAAACTAGTGATTAAACTAATGTAGATGCTAAAGTCTGCTTAATTAACTTGTGATCAACTCGTTCTTTTTAATACTTTATTCACATATCGTTGTTCGGTACGTAAGGGACGGTTTCTACAAATTTACAAACACTTAAATATGAACAATATGGTCTACAAATATTAAACGTTCGCACATATATATATATATATATATATATATATATATATATATATATATATATATATACTTACAATCACTTTGACGTTATCCAGGGATTTATTCCACATCGTGTAGAATATCTTAATTATGTCTTGTACATCTACATGTTATAACCTTAGCTTCTTAGTCATATCTAACCTAAAAAGTTCTTGCGCAAGCGTTTATAGCTTATTAAATATTCTGATGTCAATATTCCATTCTTATGTTAATATCTAATTAACGGAAGTTACATACACTATTATACAAGAATTAGCAACAAAATGTCCTTAATTTCAAAACAAGTCCATGTAACCATTCTAAAAGCAACAATATTGACAAGTTAAAAAGTCATTGGAACACAAATATGTAAAACACATAACAAATGACATGGACACATCCATATGAAGTTAAAAAGTCATTGGAAAACTGCAAATATACATGCATGGCATGGACGCGTCCATGCCAAGTTAAAAAAGTCATTCGAACACAAAGATACAATGGCATGGACACGTCCACGCCAAATTAAAAAAAAGTAATTGGACTAAATATACAATGGCACGGATCCGTCGATGCCATTGGAAATTTATGTTCCAATTACTTTTTTAACTTGGCGTCGACTCGTCCGTGCCATTGATGGCATGGACACGTCCACGCCAAATTAAAAAATTAATTGGAACATATATTTCCAAAGGCATGGACGGATCCATGCCATTGTATATTTATGTTCCAATTAATTTTTTAAAATTTATTTAACTTGGCGTGGACTCGTCTACGCCAAGCTAAAAAAGTCATTCGAACACAAACATACAATGGCATGGACACGTCCACGCCAAGTTAAAAAAGTAATTGGAACATAAATTTCCAATGGCATGCGAATCCATGCCATTGTATATTTATGTATGGCATGGACACGTCCACACCAAGTTAAAAAAATTCATTCAAACACAAATATACAATGGCATGGACACGTCCACGCCAAGTTAAAAAAGTAATTGGAACATAAATTTCCAATGGCATGGACAAACCCATGCCATTGTATATTGATGTATGGCATGGACACGTCCACCCCAAGTTAAAAAAGTTATTCGAACAAAAATATACAATGGCATGGACACGTCCACGCCAAGTTAAAAAAGTAATTGGAACATAAACTTCCAATGGCATGCGAATCCATGCCATTGTATATTTATGTATGGCATGGACACGTCCACGCCAAGTTAAAAAAGTCATTCGAACACAAATATACAATGGCATGGACACGTCCACGCCAAGTTAAAAAAGTAATTGAAACATAAACTTCCAATGGCATGTCGAATCCATGCCATTGTATATTTATGTATGGCATGGACACGTCCACGCCAAGTTAAAAAAGTCATTCGAACACAAATATACAATGGCATGGACACGTCCACGCCAAGTTATAAAAGTAATTGGAACATAAATTTCCAATGGCATGGACAAACCCATGCCATTGTATATTGATGTATGGCATGGACACGTCCACGCCAAGTTAAAAAATAGGTACGCAACGCGTACATGTATCTGCGAAAAAAAGTGATTCACATTTTGTATTTTCTTGAAAGAAACTGAATAATGAAGATGACATGGGACAATTGAAATATTTCATCACTTATTATAATAGCAGATAAGATTTAAAACAGGGCTGTACACAGGGGGGAGTGCAGCAGGGAAAGTGCTACCCCCCCCCCCACCGAGAAAATTTAACCAACTTTATAATGTGATTATGATTGTAACAGATAATTATGCAGTCAGGAAATAAAAATTTCATGCAAACAATATTCAAAGTGTCTATACAGCCGGCTATTTAGTAAACTGTCACCTGTCAATTCAATCCATACTCATCAAATTTTCAAAACTTTATTGTAATCATATGAAGCAAAAGTTATGTCACTTGTTGTTTACACTTGCCAATGTTAACTGTTGAGTAACATACACAAAATATTTGGTGAACATGTCGAAGACCACTGAATAATTGAGAATGTTTTGAAGGTCATGAGTGAAGTATATAATTAAATTCCAGTTCTGTGCACGGTTAATGATATACCACACTGTTCGGTTTAACACGTACAGCACATTCACACAAAAACAATTGTGTTGTGGGAGATTATCGGTTTGAGTAGAAGGTATCACAAGTTTAGTTTTGTACATTGTGTGCCATTGATCAAATCCACCATATAATATATGATTATTCATTGTAGCTGTTAAGTTACTTCCATACTAATGAATTTAGGTAAGATTGTCTTGCAAGTTGGTTGTTCTGACAAAATTATCCAGCCAATATCCAGTACGTTTATTTTATTCTTCATTCTTGTATTAATCTCTAAAGAAAAATATTTATGTTAGAAAGCAAAATGACAATGCAATGATGCTCGGGAGGGTGAGGATTCTTTTATTTGAAAATGTTTGTAAAATTTTTGTTTAATTAACTCTAATGTGTAAAACCAAAATGTATAAGTATTTTAACTGATAACATCTTCAACCTTTGCTCTAACACTACATTTGATGACAGCTTTATAGTTGGATCGACTGTTGTTACGGAGTCAATATACAGAAATACAGGACCAGGATTTAATTCAATATCTCCTGAGAACTGTTCAGTAGGTTCCTTTGATATTGTTAATTGGCAATATTATTGCCTGCTATGTTTTCACTGTTTAAAATATTACAGAAGTCACAGAAGGATTGTTTTTAATACTGTATAATACTGTATAAGTCTTAAAATATCCTCGAAAATATCCAATATTTTATACAGTGTATTATATATTAATAAAAACATTCCAGAGTGCATTCCATGTAAACTTTTCGCCGAAGATACGGCAATATCAATTCTTTATTCTGTGGCAATATTAACTATAGATAGTATAGTAAATATTTGCTGAACTGGCGAACTCATGTATTATTAAATATGTGGGACATATAAAAAATTTCCAGAGTGCATTCCATGTAAACTCTACGCCGAAGATACGGCAATATAAATTCTTTATTCTGTGGCAATATTAACTATAGATAGTATAGTAAATATTTGCCGAACTGGCGAACTCATATATTATTAAATATGTGCGACATATATTTGCACAAATTTGGTATTTTAATATATAATATGTGGTATTTGACTACTTACCAGATGAGGATAAGATTCCATGTTGATAAATAACTTCAATTCAAGATAAATTGATAAAAATATCAAGATATTTTTGAAAGAATAACACGATTTATACACGAGGCCTGACGAGGCTAAAGTATGCCCGTTCGCAGGTTAGGTGCGGGCACGATGTAAACAATTGATGTAAACGAATCGCTGATTGGCTTAAATTATATAAGATTGGCTTAAATTATATAAGCTCGTCGCTGAATGGCTATGTGTTAACATACGGTACGGTAACAGTACGGTCACGTTTGCGATAGCATATATATCTGCTTCGCAGATACAAAAATAGGTACGCTAAGCGTACGTACATATATCTGCTCATGGTGATTGCACTTTGCCAAGGCTTCAATCAACACTCAGTAGCTTGTAAAAAAATTTAAGGGTCTGATGTTTAACAGTTGACCAGTTAAATAAAGTTAGATTTATAGTATGTCAGATGAAAGAAAAATAAAATGGCTGATATATATTCAACTTGCAGAAACTAATTCCGGCCATAACGTCACAAAGATGATATTCAATTTTATGATGTTCTTGTTGAATCATCTTAATTTTATAATGTTCTTGCAGGGATGGATCCAGCATGATCTGATAAAGGGGGGGGGTACTCTGCCCGCTCTGGTGCCGAGTTGTGTCGGTCATGTGTGCCACCCACCCATCAACTTGCTTCACTATTGCAAAGTCTTGCTTGACTACAGTATTTGAATTGTAATTGTTGTTCACAGTTTGCCTATCATCATATTATTACTCAAATTTCTGTATCTCATTTTGTTTCTAATAATTTTTTGTTTATCATGAAAAATAGGACCCCTTCCTGCACCCCCTCTGGCCAGGGCTAGGGGGGTGCATCCCCCCCCCAGTAAATCCATCTCTGTGTTCTTGTTAAAACATTTCGGGTTCCAAATCTTCTTGATAGTTCATATTAAACTTTAGCAGGCATGCGAGAACATGGTAGATGCATAGAAGTTGTCAGGATAACAGGTGGTGCCAATATACATTGTTGTTCACTGTTGATTCATTGATTCATTGACATTATTGACACCCCCCTGAAGGGGCTTTGCTGTGACAAAAATTACAAACACATAAACTTACTGTATTATTACTACATTAGTCCTAATTAATTTTATTGAAACAGATTACTAGCAAACAAGGAAAATTTCACAAAAACTGCGACAGAGACATCAACAACAACAACAACAACAACAACAACAACAGCGATGATAACACACCAACAGTAGCATCGACAACGCTTATTGATCAACTACTGAAAAACAAGTACTTAATAACTATCCAGGAATTGCTGGAGAAGTTTATGCCTTAGTTTTAACTTTACATTTTGCAGAGTTTTGGAAACCTTCTTATACCATAATTGATACATAACATCAACATTTCTCTGTTTATAATTGTTTTTAAATATAATCTATTTCCTTTTAGAAAATGTCATAGTCAGGGTTGATGGCACACAAATCAACTGTTTATGCCTAGTAAATATATCAAATAGGTCATATATTGAAAGTCATTCATCAGCAACAAATGATGACAAGTATGGAAATTAGAAGTATAATTGATGCATATAGTTCTTGAATAGAATGATATAATTCAGCATAACAGATCCATGCAATAATATTTTGTCGTGGAAGAAAATCCACTAAACAGAATATTATGTTAGTTTTGTACATTGTGTGCTATATTAAATAAGATCCCATTATGACATATGGTTGTTGTTGATTATAAGACAATATAGTATGGGATAAGTGAAGGGGGATAT